ATAAATAGTTATAAGTATTTTTAGACGGATGAATTTTTTAGTTAATTTTTGTACAATGGATTTGCAGAAAGAGTTTTTTTACACTTTATTTTTAATAAAATTATTAAATATATTTAATATTATATTTTTTTATATTAATGTAATAACAGTAAAATACTAATTTTAGTATATAGTTATTATATTTATTCAACTAAATTAAACTATTATTATAGGTAAAAAGTAACAGATAAGAATATTAAATTGGTTTGATCTAATAATAAGAATAAAAATAAAAATTTTTTTTTTCTTTTAAGCAGTCACATTAGTGCTTTATTAAGATTTTGAAATTATATTTGTAATTATATAAATGTTCTTAACTACTAGGCCCAGTATCACCTGGCCACTCTAATGGTATTTAAGTAGAAGTAAGCCACTCATATGACTACTTAAAGTCCATAATGAAAAGGTCTTTTTCCTTTTATGACAAGTTCTAAAATTGTTTTTTGTGCTTCTTTTCTGATTTGTTTTTTTTTTTCTTTGCTTTTTCTTTTCCTTCTTTTATAATTTACTGATTTAGTTTTTCTTTTTTACTTAGTGCTTTTTTCTCTTTTTCTTTTCTTCTTTTTATCCTACATATTATTCCTTCATTTTTTTTATTTATTGATCTTTTTACATTGGATTCTTTATACATATTCATAAAATGTATCTTAGACCATTCTTGCTATTACATTTATAAACTAATATCTTGATTTTGTATTTAGAAGCTGCCTTAATCTGTTTTGTGTTTCTTTTGGAATGAGACCTTTAATTAATGCCTCTTTTATTTTAATTTTCACTGCTTTTGTTTTCCTAAAGAGTGCTGTATATAATATATATAGGAGAATTTAAACTTTTTCTTCTTTCTTTAATCCCTTCCAAACTGTTGCAATGGTCACTTTTTGGATTCTTTTTCAAAATTTCTTGTCCCTTACATGCTGCCAAATGTGTTTGTATTTTTTTTATTTTATCTTGGCACACTTGGCACTTTGTTATTATATATACATCTGGTCTTCTTTGGTTAAACTTTTCTAGAATTAGAAGTTTATCTATTATGCACTTTATAAATGCACTTTTTCTGGTACTACTTCTTCTTGTTATGCAGTATACTCTTTAGATATCTTCAGTCTATTCTAAAAATATGTTCAATTATAGATTATTACTTCTGTTTCTGATTCTAATCCTCTGATTACTTTTGTTTCCTTCCATTTTGCTTCTAATCTTGCATTCATTAAGAATTTGCATAGCAGTCTTGCTAGTATGTCAGTACATTTTTTTCCTACTCTAGGCAGTACTCTATCTCTTTGCAACTAACTTTTTCATTCTATATTATCTTTTTATTCATTGCATCTTTTTTGCTAGACTATTAGCTTTATCATTTCATCTGTCTTTACTGTGTCTTTTAACTTTAACAAACTCTATCTAAATATTCTTTGTCATAATGAGCTCTCTAATTTTCATTATCTATATTGTGTTTTTTTTTTGAAGATCTTATTTCTGTATACTTGTTCTAAGCTTCTATTAATGTTTCTTATTATCATATTGCTATCTGTATATATTTCTACTTGTTTTTCTTTTGGTATTGTTAAAATTGCAGCCCATATTGCCACTAACTCAGTCATTGTCAATGTTTGTCATCCTTCTAGACCTAATGCTATCTCTTCTTCTGGCCATTCTTGTATTTCATCTGTTTGCACTAACCTTATACCTATACTATTTCTGCTTTCTGTATCTTCTTTAGTTTTTAGGTTTGCTGCTCTATCTGTATATATTATATACTTGTTCTTGTTTCTTATTATATTCCTTCTTAAGGCTTTTACTATTTCTTGACTAATGCTGTTTTTTAACTTTTGTCATTTAATTGTCTCTACTTCTAGCTCTTCTATTATTCTTAGTTACTTGAGTTTTTGTTCTTTTATCCCTAATTTATTTGTCTTTATTATTTCTGTTATTTGATCTATTGATATTTTGATCTTGTTACTACCTTTTTTTATTAATGCATCTGGAATCACATTGATTCTGTTGTTTACTCTTATTTACTGCTGACAGGTATTTTCTTAGTGTTCTTCTTCTTTTGTACAACCTTTACATCTGTTAATTTCGATAGCTAGTTCACTTTTTTTATTCAGCATTTGCCAATGTTCTACTAGTTTTTTTTCTTTTTCTTCTTAACTATTTTTTCTAATAGTTGATTGTTTTGTATACTATGTGCTACCTATTCTTTCCTTCTTTTGTCTTCTGAGATATACTTATATTTCATCTGCATTGCCTAAGTATTTGTTTAGTTATTCTAAATTGTTTTTTAACTTCTCTATTTTCTGATCTAATAAGCACTTCTTGTTTAATCACTTTGAAACATTTTGCTTTTTTTTTCTTTATTCAATTAACCTTTGTAACTTTTTAGCTACTGCAATATAATTAATCTCTCTCTTTTTATATCTATTAGCTGGCTTAAATATATTAAGCCTGCTTCATTTCTTGCTTTTAGCAATATTAAACAAGCTAAATTACTTTTCCAAACTTCTATATTTTCTAATATCTTCTTTATTTTCTATATGACTTTTATTAAGTCTGCTTTTTGGCACCTTTGTGTTATTCTTAATTTTGTTAACTATTCAAGACTATCTTGTCTATTTAGTCTTGCTAATAGGCCACTTATTTGTTTTGTCATTAATTCCTGTTGTAGTGTTTTGCAGCTTTTAAGATCTTTGTATTTCATTATATAATTTTTTAATATTCTTTAAAGGTTGCTCTTTTGCTTTACTAAACTTATTATTAGTTGGTATATTTTACTTATACTTCTTTTTGACATTTTTGTTAACTGTAATATATAACTTAATTTTGGTATTATTATTATATTGTTTATATATGCAATCTGACTTATTGTTATCTTTTTGTATCTAAGATCTTTTATTGTTTGGTTAATTATTTCTTTAGCTTTCTTTTTTACTAGCATTTTACTCATTTTGTTATTTAGCCATATTTCTAGTGATTGAATTATCTTATTCTTTGCTTCTTCTATTATCTTGCTTTCTCTAAAGATTACTTCTCTTTCTTTTTTATTTATTTTCATATTCATTATTAACAGCTTTGATTTGAATTTATTTATTTTTATATCATTTTTCTTAAAAAATTCTTCTGCTATTTCTAATATTTCTATTAGCTGTCTTTTACTATTTGCAATCCATGTTGTGTTATCTGCATATGCAATGACTGCTTGGTGGTACTTTGTAATATTGTTGTATTGCATTCTTCTTTTGATTTGCTGTTCAACTGTATATTCTAAATTTTTATCTTTTTGTATTCTCTTTAATAGTAAATTATAGAAAAGTCATTATATTAATATATATATTATTTCTTCTTGATTTATGCTGTCTTCTACTGTTATTTCTTCTGTTAGGCCATAAGTTATAGTTATACAGGTCTGACGTAACAACTTGTGCAGTACTATTTAATAATTTAAACTTTTTTGTGTCATCATTTAAGTAATTTCTTTAATTTGTTTGTGAAACTTCTTGCTTACTAATTCTAACCTTCTTTTCTATAAATGCCAAATAACAGTCTTATGGTTGAGGATCCTGAAGCCCAACAGCTTATAAACCTTTCATATGTTACAAACACTGAAAAAAATACTTCGAAGTGGTTGCATCATGTTGATCGGTACAGAGAGGAAAAAAATATTACAAAGATGTTAAACCAGTTTAATAACAAAGAAGAGTTTGATGTGTTTCTGTGTTCATTTATTAGCTGACTTACACAAAAAAAGATTGTATGCCATTTAAAGTTGAGTCAATTCATAATTGCTATGCCGCATTAGCAAGATATCTTCATAAAAATTCTGCTATTGAAGGTGATGTTCGAATCTGGGATAAGTATTTATTTCCAAGAGCCCTTAGATGCTTGAATGGTAAAATGAAATCTTTGCAGAATAACAGTTATAGTAATACATCAAAAAGTGATTCATTAACATCAAATAAGATTATATCATGTCTAAATCACAATTACTTGTCAGTTGATAATAATAAAGGTTTAATTAAAAGAGTATTCTTTTGGTTGTCATTGTTGTGTAGATTAAGAGAAGGTAATACATATAGTTTGGAGTATCATAATCTTGAATAATGAAGTGATGGTGGTCTTCAATTAAGGTTTTGCAAAGAAAAACATAATCAAGGTGGGGTGCTCTATCGACAATATTATGGTTATACTGGAATAAGATTTATTCCAATCCCACCTGATCATGTTGAGAATCAGTTTACATCTATCAAAGATCTACTTCTCTACTTATTAAAACGTCCTACTAATTGTGAATCTAGTGCTTTATTCTTACAATATACAAGAAAAAAAACAGATAATTACAGGTTTTGATAATTATAATATAATAATTCAAAAATTCATTCTAATATCTAAATTTTTTTCTTAGAAATTAAAAATAGCATTTGGTATAAGCCTCTTGGATGGGTGAGAACAAGCTGAAATCAATGATGCAACAAATAGTAATCAATACTGGAATTGATCTTGAAGGAAGAAAAATTACGAATCATAGTTGTTGACATACTGCAATAATGATGTTGAAGGCTTTTGATGTTCCTGAGGATGAAGCTATAATATTTTCAGGACATTGCTCATGTGAAGGTATTCGTGCTTATAGCAGTCCAACAGATGACCAATAATTATCATCTACAGCATTACTAATTCCATATACAAGTTATAATGAAGATCTTGAATCATATTATTCTTTTCTAGGAGATTCTTATATTAATTACAATTCTGATAAAAATGATGAAATAGGTTAGTTTTATTTTTAAAAAAAAGAATATTAATAATTTACATTTACTTATCTTTTAGATATTTTAGTAATAGAAACTTCAAGTACATTGGATTTGAGTCAAGAAGTTTCAAACATCTCAAAATTACTACCATGGCAAGATATTTTAAATACAATTTCAAAAACAACACAAAATTAAAAACCCTTTAACCCAACTACCAATCAATTCATTTCTGGTAATTTTATTTTTAATAATTTAATCAAATACATTTGCTAGAGTTGATTTTTTTTTTTTTTTTTTTTTTAGATAAATTTTCTAACAAAAAAGTTAGATCAAATTCGAATTTGAAACTTCTAATGCGATTTAAAAGTCCATTGATAAATAACAAGAAACTATGACTCCATCATCAGGATCGAATATTACAAACAGATAAATCACAGTTTAAGCATCAAGACCAAGCATCACAGAAAAATAACAACAGCCACTGTAAGCATGTAATTGAAAATCTCGAAGATGAACAAGTATCAGTACCAATTACCAAACAATACAAAAATAAACCAATATTAGCACCAACCACAAATAAAAAATGAAAGGCAATGCAATTGATTACAAATAATGTTATAATTCAAATTCTGGACACTGAGAAGCACCTGGATATTAATTTGAAGATTTCTTTTCAAAATGATTGATTATTTTGATTTGATAATTTTTTTTTCTCTTAATGAGTTTTTTTTTTATTAAAAATTTCTTCAATATAATTATAATAAAATTGATAAATTATAATAAAATTGGCAATTACAAATAAAATAACAATTTTGCTTAATTACAAAGTTTTTTATATGCCCTAATATAAGTTTTTGCCTAGTTAAAAGCTGCTACTTTTTGAAATAGCTAATTCACATGGGTATATATGAAAATCACATGATTCTTATATATACCTGTGTAAATAAGCTTTCGAAAAAAGCACAGGTTGTTACATAAGACCCATATGATAAGTTGTAATAATCTTTAGTTGTCTTTCATAAACAGATTCAGAATATTTTATTGTTTTTTTAGGCACTTTAACTTTTTGCAGTACTAATTTTAGACTCTCAAGTAGAACTGAATCAAATGCTTTTTCATGTCTTGCAAGAGTATCCAGACTTCTTTATCTTTCTCTTTTGCTTCTTCCATTATCATGTTGAGAATATGTACTGGTTGTTCTGTTGAGTTGCCTAAGAGGTCTGCATAATTTAGTCCTTTGAGTATTTCTTTTTCTGTAAATACTTTGGCAAGCCTTTTTGTTATCACTTTCATTACAACTTTTCTAAATGTTTCTATTAGTGTTATTGGTTATATATTGTTTAAACTATATTCCTACTTAACATCTTTAGGTATTGGATATATTTGTGCTATCTTCCATTTAGTTGGTATCTTTCTTTCTTCTAGACATAGGTCTGCAAATTCTCTAAATACTTCTTGTGTTTTCTTTTCTACTTACTTTATTAGGATATAACTTATACCTGATATGTCTAAAGCTGTTTCTGTTTTCAGTTCTCGTAATGTTTCTTCTCATTCTTTTTTATCAATTTTTTTTTCAACTTGTATTTTTTTTCCTAAATTGTTTTTCATAGTGTTTTGCTACTTTTATTTTGATATCTTCTAAGCTTGTTAGCAGATTTGTTTCTTCTTTTACTTGTTCGATAAACCTGTTAAGTAATATTTTCTTATAAGGCCTATTCAGAAGACTTACTATTATCTTTCTCTAGTCTGTTCTAATTATTTCAAATCTTTTATCTATATTCTCTTCTATTTGTTTTTTTTGCTTTCATTTCTAGTCTTTCTTTTTTATTTTTAATAATAGCTTTTTTCAACCTTTTATGTCTTTTATCTATGCATTTGACTATTGTTTTTGTAAGCATAAAAGCTTTGCACCAATTTCCTTGCCTAGTGTTTTTATCTGTTCATTTATTTTACTTGGATTCTTTTTGTTTTTGCATATTTTATTAGTCTTTGGAGCTTAATAATACTTTCTTCTCATTGTTGTTCTCTTAGATTTTTTCTTCTATTTGTTGTTGTGTTATAAACTTTTTTTTTTGGTATATGTTTACTTGCTACTGTAATGATTGCTTCTTCTATTATGTCTCATATATTGTTTATTTTCTTTGCCTTTCTTTCTTTGTCTTGTTCCTTTTTGTAAATGTCTTGTAATTTCTGCATATAATTTTTTCAGTCTTTTGATCTTGCTTGGTCATATAAGTATACAGTTCTTGACTGTTTTTTCTTTTTAATCTTTGCTTTGCTTTTTTCTGCTACAAATGCTTTATCCATACTTCTGCTATTATTATTTTGTGGTTACTTTCTGTAATCTCTTCTACTTCTTCAATTTTTACTTTTTATAACCCTGAGGCCAATTCTTCTAATCTCCATATATAATCAATTCTTGTTGCTACTTCTCTATTTGACCATGTATATTGTTAACTTATTGAGTTCATGTCTCTATATGTGTTTCTAAAGTCTTGGTTTTTCATTTAATAGAAGTTGGCAGCCTTTTGTAGTTTATTGTTTGTGAATGTTGTCTATTTAAAATGTTGTTTACTGTATGATTAAAATCACCTATTACAATGACTTGTGTTTGTCTTATTCTCTTTGTAACTGATTCTACAATTTTTTGCTAAATGTTTTTCCCTGCTATATTATTATTTGGTGGCATATAGACTGCAATTACTACTAACTCCAATTGTTTAAAATATAGTATAATCTTTATTATATATTCACTTATTTTTATAACTGCATCTACATGCTTCTCTCATTGTTCATCAAATATAATTCTAATACCTGAACTTTTTTTTTATTTTCTGTTATGTTTATTCAAAAACTTATATATCTTTTGTTTGCTGTATATGTTAAAAAATTTTTTTCTCTTTCTGTAAGATTTGTTTTAGTAATTCTCAATATTGTGATTTCCTTTTTTTCTGCCCAACCAAACAAAGTTATCTAACTTTCAACCTTTAGTTTTTAGTTCATTAACATTGCAACATGCTATTTTGATTTCTTTTCTTCCTTTCTTATATTTTTCTTTTAACTCTTTTCATATTGTTGTTTTGTTTCCTATCTTGTCTTTTCTATTTTTGCTTTTCTTTTCTTTTAGACTAGAAGACATTTCCTTCTTTCTCTCTTCAAAAACACTTTTTTTAAGTTGCAGAAAATCTCCAATCTTCTCATCTAAGTTTATTAATTCAACTGGTGTGACCTTAGAAACAATTAGCTAAAGCTGTCTGGCTTTGTTGAGTTTTTAACCTTTCTAATCTTTTTGATATTTTTTGAAGAAGACTATGCATTTGTAGTTGTGGCTCTTTATTTTTAATTTGGTTTCTTTTATGATTGTTGTAGTGTTTATTATTTTTTTTCATCTTTCATTATAATTAATGTTTCTATAACTTCTATATCTAAACCTTCACTAGTATCATCCTCATTAATATATTTTTCTTCTTTACTCTTATTTATATATTTCTTATTTCCTTTCTTGTAATCTTGCCAAAAGAGTAAGTGGTTATTGAATTGTATTGGTTTTGTTTATGCTGCTTTCATTTCTTCTGCTGATGCAAATATAATTGTAGCTAACCTTCTTTAATTTCTATTTCTATTAGATGGTATATATACTGATTTTACACCTTTTTTCTTTAGGCATCATAATAACAATACTTCTAATGCATTTCTTGTAAGCTCTACTAATTGAGTTGTAAATTGATTTTGAATATTACACTGATTATAATCTTCTTCTCCTATTGTTACTCTTGCAAGTTTGTGCATTTCTACTAGCAATAATTATGAAATACTTCTTTCTTTTATTTTTCTTGCTTTAATTACTGTTAATGCTTTGTATCTAAACCTTTTGATGTATTTTATATGAGCTCCTTTAATACTTTTGCATATGTGGTCTACTTCTTCTATGTTGATATTGGCTAGTAAATCCTATATTGTTAGATGTGTCTCTGCTTCTAACTCATCTTCTGTTATATAGCTGTTTTTATTATTTTCTTCTTTTCTTTGTCTACTAGCATTTTTGAATTCTTCTATTTCTTTTCTTTTGCTTCTTAGTACTTGCTGCTTCTGCTTCTTTTCTTGGTTTTTCAGTTCTTCTAAGATAATTTTAAGCTGTTTACCTTCTTTTTCTTTAATTCTCTCTATTGCTACATCTCTGCTAAATTTACAGTCAAAGTTCACTTCTACTTAACTATTTCTCTTTTTGAAGAGTTCTTGAATTAATTTAATAAGATGGTTTCCTTGAAAAATCCATTGCACATATTTAATTCTTTCTTTTTTGTTTTCACCTAGTACTATATATGTTGGCATGTTTGCCTTAAAGAATTTATTCTATCACATATACAGTTTTTTGGTGACAACTGACTTTCCTCTATTGTATCTGTCAATTTTACAGTTTCTTGCTTTTCTTCTTCTGCTTTTAGTTCTGCTATTCTTCTATTTATATTCTTGATGTTTTCTTTAATATTGCATATTCTGTTATCTGTTGACTCTTTTTGGTCTTTTTTATTTCCTTCTTTCCTATTACTGTTTTCACATCTCATTGTTTCTATTGTCAGTTTTCCTGTAGTTATATTTTTGGAGTTTTTGAAGTCATGTTGATTTGTAATTGAAATGCTTAGTTCTTCTATTTGTTTTATAACTCCTTTTAAATTTTGATTCATTTTTTCTTTTTCTTTATGTTTTTAGTATTTTTCTTCTGTATATACAAGTGTTTCTATTTCTTTAACCTTCTTTGTCTCTTTCATTTCTTCTAGCTTTGTTTCTTTTCTTGATGTTTTTCCTTATTTGTGTTTGTTTGATAGCTAAATAACCCAGAAATTATGTTTATTGATGCTAGTTTCTTTGCCTCTTATTCTATAGTACTATGTAAAACTGCATACTTCTGCTATTTTGAGTACCTTTAGTATTTGACTGTAGAGAAGTAAATCATTTGCTGTTATGTTTTTTGGATCATAAATTGCCAGGTCTTTTGCTATATATTCTAGATTATCAGGATTTCCTATAGGTTTTGCTAAAACTGCATCTAGTATTTTACTATCTATGTATCTTCTATTTTTATTACTAAAACTCTTAATATGTTGAATTAGGTTTGTACTGCATAGTAGTCCTAATCTAGTTTGTACTTCTATTTCTAGACTATTCTGTTTTTTATCTATTTGTTTATTCTACATATTGTACTTATCTGTTATTTTCTAATAAAGCTATTTGTTTTTACTATTTGTTGTTTAGTATAATGTAATGTGTTGTTTTGTTTGTGTTGATGTTTAGTCACATGTTCTAATCTTGTTTTCAGGATCTAGTGATGTTTTTTAATTTTTTTAAAAAATTTTTCAAAACTTGTAAAATTAGCAAAAGCTTTTGTTTAACAGAAATTTACTTATACTGTTGTTAAAGTAAAATAATTGTATTTTGTGTGCTGAGTCTTTTTTTTAAAGACTAGAATGAGGTTTACTAAACTGGTTTTGTGTTTTCTCTATATGATTGTTTGGCCTTGTTTAGAAATTAAGGATCTGTAAAAAGAGTTTTTGAACTACTTTCTAAAAAAAATTTTTGTTCTTAAGAC